ACTGGCACCATCCTAAGGAAGTCGTAGTGTTTAGTTGCAGACTTTGGGAGTTAGAGTTAGTCTGGCAAGATTCTGTCTAGCAGGTGTAAGTTAATAAAGTAACTGAGCAATTCCTGAACCGTCCCGTGGAGTTTCTTGGGCTGAGCCTGACAGTGTCCATCTTTTTCCCTTTATGGTAATGGAATCAAAATCAAGCTGACCTTCACTAAACTCTTCATTGGCTAGTTTTATCAAAAATATTTTGATCATGGTTTGCCATCCTTTAACACAGGGATAGATAGTGCCTTCCAAGCCAGGTGGCTGGACTCCAAAATTGGAGTACCCAGACAAAACCTAAATTTGATTTATTCACATTTAGATTTAACTAAAGTTAAGTGAGATGATGTGATTCGTTTCCAGTTCTGTATTTCATACGTTTCTCTTCTGTCCCTTTAAGAATTACAATTTGTAAAGTTGTACCATTTTTACTCTCCTCAGCCTGGAGCCGTTTTGCAGAAAGTACAGAAAAAATAACCAGCCAACTTATAAGCCACTTGGAGTGCTGAAGAGGGCAAGAACCTCAGAGCTACTAGGCCCAAGTAAGACGAGGGGATTCCCTCTAAATTTTGGACCAGATAAAGGTGAAGATAGAAATTACTGTGGTTTAGGAGCAGTCAGTCATCCTGAGCGCATCTCCATTATTAAATTGAAGGAAACATTTAAGAAGGGACTAGCAAATTATTTCCAATCTGCAGGCAAGAAAGCTGCATAAGGTTGTCAGGAGTTGAATTCCACTTGAAGGAGGCCAGTGTTTACTCTGTAACAAACATTGTATTTGGTAATGATCATGTAATTACCACTTCCTTGTCATTTAAGAGGCAACCTGGTATTAAGAAATCAGTATTAATGGGAAAGTACCCTTCCTCACATCAGCAGCCCCACCAACTGGAGAAGATTAAGATCTTTTTACTGTCCCCGCTTTCCTATAACAAAAAAGTGGCAAATAGTTCTTGTCTTCCCCATATTTCTTAGTACCGTATGACTTGACTTGGCTAGGTCAGTCTCTGTCACCTGAGTTCAACACACTGCTCTAACCACTAAGCTATGTTGGCATATTTGCTGTCTTCTACACGTTTAATTAAGCATCACATTTCCCATACAGTAGTTTCAAGCCTGTGAACTGGATACAGGTTTGTGGACAAGCATTACTATGAACTGATTCGTGATTTTGTCTGAAGCAACTGCAATTTCTGCAGTAAAAGTAGCTTCTATGATGTCGTGGCTTTGGGAGGAAGTAGGATGGCTCCTTATAGGATCATGAGTTGTCTGAAGTCAGCTGAGAATTAATATTCCATTTGTAGCTCCAAAGAATTCTGCTTGTGGCTTAGTTATGACCAATGGAAGATGAGTTGATAAAAAGTGTCCAGGCTGCACCCCTTGAGACTTCAGATGATCACTCATGGTCCATAGAATACCCAATATCAAACAAATTTCTCCTCTGGGGAAAGGATTTTTATCTAGCTTTATTGTGACAAAGAGACCAATATAAAATATGGACGTTTGTATACGTAGAATATTTCATGTCAACCTCTCTCCTCCTTGCTATTTGATATATGGTCTAGACCAGTGTTTTTCAGCCTTGGCAATTTTAAGATGTGTGGACTTTAATTACCAGAATTCCCCAGCCAGCCATGCTGGCT